CCCCCCACCACAACCCCCACCACCCCAGAGCCCACCACAACCCTAATCCTGTCTGAACTGACCACATCTGAGATCCCAGAATCAACCTCACTCTCTACTATTTTGGAATACCCAACAACCATCTCCTTTGTCTACCTCCCAAAGGCCCACGAGGTGGTTCAAGGGAATTTGGAGAGCTCCAGAAATGACCCTTTGCTCAACCCTGACTTCTGCTGTCTCCTCCCCCTGGGCTTCTATGTTTTGGGTCTCCTCTGGCTTCTGTTTGCCTCTGTGGTCCTCATCCTGCTGCTGGCTTGGGCCCAGCCCGCAGGGCCACAGGCCCTGGCCACAGCCACGCACACCACACATCTGGAGCTGCAGAGGGGAAAGCAAGTGACCATGCCCCGGGCCTGGCTGCTTTTCCTTCAAGGCTCACTCCCCACTTTCCGCTCCAGCCTCTTCCTGTGGGTACGGGCTGATGGCCATGTGGGGCCCCTCCGGGCAGGACGGCGGCCCTCTGCCCTGAGTCTGGGCCGGGGTCAGGACCTGCTGGGAACAGTGGGCGTTAGGTACACTGGCCACAGCCTCTGAGGGGGGGTGGTTTGGGGACCCGCAGAGGCTGTGATGGCCTTTTGTACTGGGATCTAGCTGGGGGTGGGCGGGCAAGGAGCACAGGGTCAGGGGGAGATTTAGTCACTTTTCCTTTATCAGAAGCCTCTTGGTGGCACACGCACAACCTCAGCGAAGCAGCAGGGGTGGAGAGGAGCAGGGTGGGTCACAGAACAAAGCTCCCTATGCTGCAGGAGGGGTTCACAAACCACTAGGTCATTACCATCGCTTTGGAGGAAGTTTGAGGAAAAAGCAAAGGGAACAGGGCAGGATTCTCAGACGCGTGTTCCGAAGGGAACTGGGAAAGATCTGTATCAAGATGTGAGCCCTGACCGTCCCTGGGGAGCGTAAACGTGGTGGTTTCCTCTCCTTTTTCTGTTGAGCATTTTTGTTTTCCACCGTTGTATGTTATTTGGAGAATAAAAAGGTAACTTCAAAAAAAAACTGTTTCCTTTGGAGACGAAGAGTGTCCAGGGCACTTGTCATTCGCATGTCTGAAGCCCCACCTGCCCCACCCAAGTTGGATCACTCACCCACAAAAGCTCACCAGCCTGCACCCCCGGCCTGGGGTGCCCCCTCTCACCCTGCGGTGCTGCCCGCCAGGCCACTGCAAGCACTAGGACCAGCTCAAAACCCACAGGTTTCCCTGGAGCGGCCCCTGCCGAGGTGTGCCTGCCCCGGGCCGTCTAGGAGCCAAGGTGGGCACCTGCCTACACCCGCGGCCTCCTGCCCTGCCCAGGCCAGCGGCCCCGTGGGTGTGGGCCTGACGGCGTGCGCCATCGTGGTGGGTTCTACTCAGCGCCGAGCCGTCCCAGGCAGGCATCCTGCTCGCATACTAGAACCTGCTTCTCCCCTGCTCCCCTAGACTCTGCCATTTCCCCTCACGCACTGAGTGGGCTGTCTCTCCTGTGGTGTCTCCAGCCCAAATCAAGGCTCGGGGCACAGAGAATGGGAGAGAAAGCTGAGCCTCCCCGGCTCGAAAACCCCCTTCTCCAGGTGACCCAGGCCTCAAAGCCCGACTGCACCTGCCCTGTTCGGAAGTCTGCCCTGGAGAGAGGACAAATCTGGAGCCTGACCATTAAGGGCTTCTACGCACTCACCCGGCTGACGTCTTACAACGGGTTCTCCATGCCCTGTGGTCCGCTGCTGCAAGCTCCGAGATCACCTGCCCCTCTCTCCCCCCGACCCTGGGTTTCCCCTCAGAGGTTTCGCTCTCCTGTCGGGCAGGGGTGCTGCCCCATCCGACCGCCACCAGCATGGCTCTCTCCTCCAAGCAGGCCCAGGGCCCCCACGTTACCCTGCAGCGGTCCACTGCTCCACTCCCGCCCCCACCTGCCCCTGGGCCATCTCTCCTTGTGGACCTAGAACCTCTTAAGGACAAGGCCCCGGCTCCTGGTGTCTCAGAGCCGCCACCGTGGCCCAAGCCAGCAACCGCCAGGAGTGGATAAGAGGAAGGCAGAGGTGGGAGGGCCCAGCCGAGGTGCCGGGCTGCCGAGCTCCTCCTCTCCTCCTTCTGAGGAGGCTCTGCCAAGGGAACAGTTCCCACCTACCGCCCGCCTGTCCCTGGCCAGGCTCACAAGACTTCGGGCCTCACGCTGCCCAGCCCTCCTTCCAGCTGACCTTCCTGTGCCCTCTGACGCCCCAGGAGATGTTTGGAGACACATCGCTCTCCGCAGGGTGGGGCTCGGATCAAGTCTCCGGCCAATGTCCCCTTCCCCCGCCCCCCCAGTTTCAAGCCTCCTGGCTCTGGGCGCCTGCCCCCACGGCTCAGCCTTCCTGTCTCAGACTGTCCCCTCCTCTGCCCAAGTCACCAGGCCACGGAGGCTTTTCCTGGGGATTCCGAGAGATGACCCACGCCCCTGACGTTCTTGGGCAAGTGGCTGGGAAGCAACACGCGGGGCGTGCGTGTCGGTTTTCCTTACCTGTCGGTTGCTGCCGCCGCACCAAAACAGACTGACGTAGCGTTTGCATAAAATGGACAAGCGCCTTTCCTTTAATACCTTTTCTTTAAAACTCCAGTTCCTGTGTTCCTGGGACCTCTGCTTCCTCGTCCAGCTGCCTCCCCTCCCGCCCCTGCAACTGTACAGATCTGGGGGTGCTGTCGTCAATCCAATTTATTGATCACGTCCTCAGTGAGGTGGAAGGTCACGTCCTCCCGCTGCAGGCCTTCTGGCCACCCTGACAGCTTCTGCCATCTCCTGTCCCCTCAGCCCCGCCTTGGTTTACCCACCGAGAAGGGGGATCTTCCACTGTCCTACGTGCCCGAAACCAACACCCCAGAGGAGGCCGGAGAGCTTCAGGCAGTTTCCCAGCCACCCCCCCCACCCCACCCCCCGCCGAGACACAGCTGAGAGCAGAGAGGTCGTGAGGATCAGAACAAGGAGGGCAAGGTGGCGCAGGGGTAGGACAGACCAGAGTCCTTTACCGCAGAGGAGGGAACCACACTGTGGAGGGGAAATAAATAGAAGGACCCAGGGCAGCAGAGTCCAGGCCCCCGGGGGCACACTGACTGTGGGAGCAACGGGTAAGGGGGAGCCCTGGCACCCCGGCCCCTCGCCTGCCTCAGCCGCTGAGAAAGAGACGCTTGTAGGCCTTGTTCATCTGCTCCAAGAAGATGAAGGTGAGGACGGTGTGGGGGCCCAGGCGGGCATAGTACGGTGTGAAGCCCTTCCACAAGCTGAAGAAGCCCTCGTAGCGGACAACCTTCACCAGCACATCCTGAACAAGAGGCAGGGCGCCGGGGCTAGGACCTGGCTTCCAGGGCCATGTCCGGCTTCCCCACCGCCCTCCCTGCACTCCCAGAGTGTCCCCTCCTCCGGCCCAAGCCCCCAGCCCCACTTCCTCACCAGCCCGTTCTTGTATTCCGGCTTCCCGTCAACCATCCGCATGTTCTGGATCCTGCAGGAGAGGAGGCAGGCGCGTGAGAGACACAAAGCGGGCCCTCCCACACGTCCCTGGGCCCCAGCCCGCATGCTCACCGGGTCTTGACGATGTCCACCGGCATGGAGGCAGCGGTGGTGACCAGGCCGCTGATCATGCTGGCGCAAAAGTGGCACAGAATGTTGTCAGAGAAGTAGCCTGGGGGAGGCGAAGTGGAGACGGCGGTCAGCGCGGAGTTGGCCCGGGCCCGGCCGGGGATCCCCGTTCCGGGGCTCACCTGAGTCCAGTAAGAACTGCTTGGATTGAGAGTAGGAGGCGAGCTGGGCCGCGTTGACCACGACAGCGCGAGCCATGGTAGGGATGCAGCCCTGTGGGGGTGGGCGTGGGGGGGGGTTGTGCTGTCAGAGGCGGCCCAGACCTGCCCCTATAAGCCCCCAAAGTCTCCAGCCCCTTCACTCACCCTCCACAGTGTGGGGACCCCTTCCTCCCGGGCGATTCGAATCAGGGCATTAAACACGTTTTTGTAGCCACGGCGCTGGTCAGGAGGAAGCCTGGTGGGAAGGCGGGGAGAGGCCAAGCTCAGGATAGACCACCCTGCCCCACAGGAGCAAAGAAAGGGGGGCCAGAGCACGGATGTTAATGCTCTGCTGCAGACAGGGATGAGGAGTCCTCTGATTCTGGATCTCAGGGAACGGGGCTGGGGCAGGCTCAGCCCTGGAACTCACCGGCCATCGGCAGTCATGCGGATAAGAACCACCTCAGCTGGTGTCCCCACAAAGGCCCCAGTCGCGCCTGCAGTCATACCAATCAGGGCCTTCAGCAGAAAGCCAGGAGGCGTACCGTCAGCCCCGGTCAGGCGCTCAAACAGCACCGTGTAGATGCCAAGGCGGGTGGTGGTGTAGGTGGCCTGGCGCAGCAGGCCAGCCGACAGCCTGGGGAGTGAAGGAGTCTGTGCATCAGGCCAGGGTCTGGAGCTGCCAACCCATCCCCAACCCCCCCCCCCCGCATCCAGTGGCTGCAGTACCCAGTGTAAATGCCCCTCAGCCCTTCTGCCCTCAGGATGCTGGTGAGGGCATGGAAGCTGGTCTTGTACTCTCGCGTCTTGGCTCCTTCCCCACTCAGCTGCATCCGGTTCTTCACCAGATCCAGCGGCTGCACGAACACTGTAGCTCCCATCCTGGAAGAAGACAGAAGCAGAGTCCAGGGCCGAGTGTCCCTTGACTACCTATCAGTGCCCACTAGAACCTGGCAACGAGGGGTCACAAAGTGCCAGGCCTGCCCCATGATTAACTAAGTGTTCAGGAGGCTAGGGGCTACGTGTGTAAGTGTCCACCTGGGCCAAGAACCGTGGGTCTGAAGAGTCCAGTGGTCCCGCAGGGGGCCGTGCAACGAAAGTGCTCCATGCAGCTCCCAGGGGGGTCAAGCAGTGATCCAGAACTGCCTGCAGTCCACCCCAGAGAGAGGTGGGCATTCGTGACCTGGGACTTCACGCAGCCCGACAGGAGCCATGCAAGCACCTGGAACCCTACACGACCCGGGAGAGCTAAGCAATGGGCCTGCACGCAGCCCAGCCGGGGCCCCGCAATGGGTGAAAAGGTCCTGGCAGCCCATCAAGGACCTCGGCAATACGCCTGGGACCGCGTTGACCCCGTGCCGGCTCGGTTCCCTGCACCCGTCCCTTCCTCCTCCCTTCCCAACCCTGGGGCCTGAGCTTACCCGGCCAGGCCCCCAAACAGGAACTTGACGGACTTCGGGGACGTGCGGGGCTTCGCGTCCATCCCGCCGGCCCCGGGACTCGCCGTGGCCGCCATCGCCGCTCAGTGGCCCTCGGCTCCGGGTCCTGTGCGCGCGCGGCCCCACTCGCGCCCAAGGTGACACCGCGCGCGCAACAGGGCCGAAGGCGCGCGCGCGCGCCCCTCCGGCTCTCCGGGCCAGCCCCAGCTGGAAACCGGCGCAGGCGCAGGCGCAGGCGCGCGGCGCAAAGGCTGCCGGGAGGAAGGCGGAGCCGGAGGCGGGGCTCCGAGTAGGGGTGCGGGAAGGGGTGTGGCTGGCTTAGGAAGCCATAGCTTAGACGCGCTTTTCGCTGAATTGGACTCGCGGGA